TGAAAGTTTACAGAGCAGATCATCAGTTTTACATTCAACAAATCATACACCTTGCTTCATTACAATGATTATAATCCCCTCCATGTACCATCACTTTAGCTTTTTTTTAAAATTAAAAAAAAATATACACCACTCAGGCACATAAAATAATTTACACCTCCAAAGGTTACATTCTGCAACTCTGCCTCCTGGCCACCAGCTCTTAGTCCCTCTCTTTCCATGAATCTAGAGTCCTCAGCTGCTCCCCCTCTCCATGTCCCATCTCTGCCTCTGTCTCTGGCATCGCTGCTTCTCCGTATAAGATCCCACATTCTGCTTGTGCTCTTCTCCCCTGATGCTCTTAGGGTCCTCTATTTCTCTACTGTAAGATTAACCACTCCCCTGTTTCTGTTACAAAACGTCTACCTTTACAATTGTGACAGTCACAATTAGTCATGATAACAGTTATTCACTATTGAATCATAAGAATCTTATCCTCATCTCTTTTTCACCATACTCATCTAGACAAGATGACAACTATTCAGTGGGGACTCTTTTTTTTAGCCCCCACACTCTTAAACTAAACTCCCTCTTGAAACCTTGTAAGCCAGTCACTTTGTACCTTTCTTGTAAGTTGCCCATCCCTATCTACCCTGTGTACAGAGGGGGTAGTATTGATACTTGATGTGAAGCTCCTTCCCTCTCTGTTGGTATTTAGAGTTACTACCTCTATGAGTATAGGCCAGGTTCATCGTCGTAAATTGTAGCAATTTACTCTTGTTTCCTTTATCAAAAAATTTTTTTATTTTTTTAAAAATCTTCCTCTAGTTGAGTTCTGATTCTCAAGACATCAAGGCTAGGTCAAATGGGTGCTGTCTGCAAGTTTGGATGTTCTTGTGCATCTCCCCTCACTTCATATCAGCTGGATGCTTCACTCTCAGCTCTAGCCCTCTGTGGCTGTGACCTTGCCCATGGGCTCAAGTGTCCCCAGATCTCACCACACTTTGGACCAACCAGCCCTTCCTCTTCTCTCTCTCATCTCCAGGTCAACGGGAGTCAATGGACCATGGTTGAACTTAGCCCATTTCTTATTGCTGTCTTTTCCCCTCTTCCACTCACCAGTAGACCAATGTGGTCGCCAGCAAACTTATGTGATTGTTTGTGTGTTCCCTTTGAGTTTCAGTCTTAGAGGGGAGTTTTTCTTGAAGGCACTTGATTGCTTACCTTAATGGCTTCCTGGTGAACAGCTTGCTTATTCTTGTAGTAGCCAGTCATGCTGACATTTTTGTTTTGGATTTTTTCCTGATGATCTTTCTTTGAAGATGTATCTTCTGTTGCTCTAGCTGTTCCAGGCTGGTCTGCTTGTCCTTTCTAGTGGGAATGTCCCACCTCATAAGGTTCTGGATGGGACTCAGGATTCCACCTAAGGCTTTGCAAGAGGCCTGTTTCACTGGGCAAGTGCTAGAACCCTTTTTAGATATTCCAGTCAGTTATAGGCTGAAGATGGGCTTATAAGTCTTTCTGTTTTCATGTTTCCCAACATTCTTTTCTATCCCACTCAAGTGTCTATTTTTACAATAGTAGGCAAGGGAAACCAATATTCATAAGACAGTCAAGCATTTTAGTATTATTTCCCCTCTTCAAACTATGCCTAGATCTCTGTATCACAGAGCCCTGTTGTTCCAAGGTTGAGCATGCATCACTATTTACCTCTGCCCCACTTAGGACATGCAAACGTGTTCCAGTGTTCTCCTATCTATCTAGTTCTTCCACCTCCTCCCCCTTCTTGTATTGCCCTCCCCAACATCCGAACTAACCCCCAACCCCCACCCCAACCTCACTGTTGTGGTTACCTTGTATTCCATTAATTATTCCTTCTACTTAAGACAGTCTATTTTATCCTGTAATCTACCTGACCTTCTCACCACTTGGATCTCTGTTCCTCTATGTTTACCTTTTTTCACATTATAATTGTTTTGGTCATAAACTGTTCTCCCAGATCCTCTATTCTTATAAATTTATTGTGTTCTTGACTCTTCCATTTGTTGATTGAGTTCAGGGTGATGCTGCCACCACGTACGTCATTCTTTGGTTGTTGTCTGTTCTTGTTGGTTCTCAGTCCACAGAACTTCCTTTAAGATGTTTTTCATCACAGGGTTGACTTTGGCAAAATCCCTTAGCTTCTGTTTATCCTGGAATGTTTTGATTACACTATTGTATTTTATTGACAGCTTTGCTGATATATTTAATCCATTTTCATTCAGTGTAATTTTTCAATAAATATGAATTGATCATTGTCATTTTTCTATGTGTTTTTTTGTGGTGCTGTTGGATTGTTTGTTCCACATACTTTTCTATGCTGAGTTCATTTTGTTTGTATGTTTTATTTTCATTTTTATTTCTCTTGTGTTAATGTTTACTAAATCTTTCTGATTTGCCTCTTTTTTCACTTTGGTGTGCAAGTGTATTATTTTTCTTTGAAGTTACTCTATAATTTATTATCTTTTCCTTGCTGAAAACAGTCTGTTTTATCTTGAAATCTACTTGACTTCCTTGCCATTTGGAAGTTCTGTGTCTATTCTATTCCCTCTTTTTGCTTTGTAGTTGATGTCATTATACATTAATATCTCTGGTTCTCAATTTTCAGTCTTGTAGGTTTGTTTTACTTTCAAAGCTTCTATGTCTAGACTGAGATCTGGGTGGTAGTGTTATGAATGTTGCTGGTTCTCAGTCCAAAGATCACCCTCCACCAAGTTAGTCTGGTCATTACAATTTCCTTAAATTTCTGTTTATCAGGAAATGTTCTAATTTTGCTGTCGTTATTTGAGGGACAGCTTTGGTGGGTATATGATTCTTGGTTGGCAATTGTTTTCTTTCAGAGTTTTGTATAGGTTATCCCATTGCCTTGTCTGCATGGTTTCTGCTGAGCAATCTGAGTTTAGTCCTATGGGGTCTCCTTTGTAGGTCACTTTTCATTCTGTCTGAGCTGTTCTCAGGATTCTTTCCTTGTCTTTGATTTTGGAAAGTTTGGTTATGATAGTTCTTGGTGATTTTCTTTTGGGAATCTATCTCTTGTATGCCATTTTCTCATCTTTCATGGTGTTAGGGAAATTTTCTTCTAAAAACTCTTTGACACATTTTCTCTATGCTTGTCTCTTCTTCGTGTTCTGGAATTCTGATCACCCGTAAGTTGTTCCTCTTCATAATGTGTCCCACATAACTGTCAGATTTTCTTTGGATTTTGTCATTCTTTTTTCTGATTGTTTTTCTAGCATAGTAGTATTGAGATGTTTCTCTTCAAGCTGAGTAATTCAGGCTTCCAGTACTTCACATCTATTCCTATATTCCTATACCCTTTCAATGTATCGTCCATTTCTGAGATTGTAGTATTGATCTGGATTTCTTATGGCAGGTTTTGTTTTGTTTTGAAATTTGCATTTATTTTGTTTGTTTGTTCTTGTCGTGTTTTCCTGAATTCTTCTAAAGTTTTTATTATGTTCTCCTTGCTTTCCTCGATCTTTCTATTGATCCTTTGAAGGTACCTAATTATTATTCTTTTGAATTCATTTTCAATTATAGTTCTGTTACCTTTTCTTCCTCAGAAACGTTTCCTGGCTCTACATCGTGCTTATTTGTTTGTGCCTTTCTGTCATTTCTTCATGAGAGCTAAAATTGTCTGTTGTCTCTGGGGCATTGAGAGGTTGTCAAATTTGTAAAAAAAATCAGTGCAGTTGTTGGACCCCGAGAGGCGACATCTCTGGAGTGTTCTTGTAATTCAAGGAGCTCACGAGGTGGTTGTGGGCGGAATGTGACAGCAAGTTTTGGCCCTAGATGGAGTTCCTATTGGCCTTGGAACTCAGTATTCAGGTCACTCAACTGGAAGTGTGTTCAGGGCACTCAATCCAGAAGTAGTTCATGGAGGCCCTTGGTAGAGCTGGTTTTTGTGTCTTTTAAGAGGACCACAGGGAAGCTGGGGACAGGATGACTTGTTAAATGCTGGTCTGGTGGCCCTAAGGGTTCTGTAGGTCTGGAGTTGAGCCCACCTGCCAAAGCAGCACAGCCAGGGCCCACCTCACCCTGGCGTGGCTCCCAACCATGCTGCTCCGAACTCCCGTGCAGAACAGGGTCTGCACCTGAGGGTGGATGTGTGTGGGAGCTGTCCACACCCTAGTCACTGGGGGAGTGTAGGGAAAAAGAAGAATTCAGCCTTTACCATCACCCATGGTGGGCTTGAATTGCCGACCTTGCAGACTGCAAAGCCCTTTGAACTGCAAGATTGGCAGTTCAAGCTCACCAGCTCCTCCTTGAAAACCCTATACAGGGTTGCTATGGGTCGTAATCGACTCGATGGCAATTAACAACAACAACAACATTGTGCTAATGCCAGGCCTCCCTCCACTGTCAAAGCTGCTCCCAAGATGGTCAAGCCATGTCTGGCCAGCTGTGGACTGGTTAGTCCTCCCTCTCTTGCTGTCCCTATTTGGCCTCTTCTCCCAGCAAGCACTCCATCCACCTCTCTAACCATTTTTCTGAAGTTCAGGATGTTAGAATTTTCATCTGTGTCTGTTTTATTTTGTCTCTCATATCTTTGTTTTAGTCAGTCCATGCAGTGCATCTGCCTAGTCTGCCATCTTGCTGCGAGTCTCAAAATTCCTAAAGTTTTGAGGAATTAGTAGACTTGAACTGAAATTCCCAGGATGCCAGTGAGCAGTTAACTTTGTTCTCAGTTTCCGAAAGTACCATTGACGGGATTTTGTTTGTCATAGTGGTAACCATTTGCTTATTCCATTAATACTGAACAACTAGTGTGAGGTAGGCCCTGTTGTTAGTGGAACACCAGCTGATGCAGTGGCATGGCTGCCCTCAGAGCACCCACAGGCATGTAGCCCCCTCTTCCTGCTTGCCCGGCAGCAGCTGCCCTGCAGCAGCTGCCCTGCAGGCCCAGGAGAGCCCTGGCTCAGTGAGCCGTCTTCAAAGCCGCCGCTGCTCACGGCTGCCTCCTGCTTTCTCTCTGTGCCCAGACTGAGCGTGTGCCACTGGATCTCAGTCCTTGGCTGGAGGAGACCCTGGACTTCAGTGAGGTGGAGGCGGAGCCCAGCGAGGCGGAAGACTTTGAGGCTCGGGGAAGTCGCTTCTCCAAGTCCGCTGATGAGAGACAGCGCATGCTGGTCCAGCGCAAGGATGACCTCCTGCAGCAAGCGCGGAAGTAGGTGGATTGGGCCGCTGTAGTGGGCGTTAGTCACAGGTCAGAACCAGTGCCTGGAGGTCTTTGCCAGGTACGGCCTCCTTAGTATCTTGGTAAACAGATGGCCACATTGATGAACCGTTAGATATCATTTAAAATTCAGATCTGGAACCTGCCTTGAGAGGATCTGACGACACTGGGCGTAGCTAGTTAGTGGTGGGTGGGTGCTGTCAGCATCACCTGTGTGCCAGCCTGAGAGTAAGTCCAATAGTATGGCTGTAAAATCATAGAACCCTTTACTGAACAAAAATATCATAATGTGAAGCTGTTGTTGATGTATCCTTCATCTAGGTCTGTACACTTGTAAAGGCGCTACTGCCATCCCTTTGATCTTCCCCTGAAGAGTTCTGACCTTTTTTTGCTTTTCACCATGTCAAAATACCAGTTTTGGCATCCTTGAGGAACTCAAATGGTTCCTTTGAAATGTTCTCTTAGTTTTGGAAACAAAAAGATGCTTAAAGGGTCAAGATCAGGGCTGTAGGGTGAATTGGCTAAGGTTTCTCAATGAAATTCTTGTTGAGACACCTCTGGTTCCCTCAAAGAATGAGCAGGTGTGTTGTCATAGAAAAAGATTCCGTGGCGTAACCTCCCTGCTGTTTTCTCAGCATTGCAGTTTTTAGTTTTATTTCTTCATGATAAGCTCCAGGTGTCCCTTCAGAGAATCTCTCAAGATGATTCCCTTGGAATCCCAAAACACAGTCGCCGTAATCTTCTGAGCTGGTTTGAATTGAATGGGCCCAGCAGAGCCCCTCGAAAGCCACTGTTTTGATTGGATTTTGTTTTTGATTGGATTTTGTTTTACTGAGAGAACTTGTCTGTAGCCATCTACTGACCAGAAACTTGTTGAGACACATTTGTTTGGACTAAACCCATGCAAGCATGAATTGGAATCCTAGTAGCCATGCTTTCTGATTGCCCCACTTATTTAAAGGGAGTGCCATTTGAAAACCTGAGGCCACTGAAACCCAGAAAGGTTAGCAAGTTTCTGGGCTCTGGCTCCCCATTCCTCCCTGTCGACCACTCTGCTGCTCAGCTCGGCATTGGGCACACAGCTCTCGGGTGCACAGGCCGCGCGTCGCGCGTTACCTCTCCACACCATGGCTGGATGCAGCAGAGAGGGCAGGGGGATTTGTTTGCTGTTTTCATTGAAGCTTTTGGGGACAGGGTCACAATTGTACTTAGCAGAGGCCTAGAAATTGTGAGGACTTCCTCTTCTCATGGGATAGGCAGAGGACTAGCCATGGAATGGGGCCTCTCCCTGGTATAAGGAGAACAATGTTCACTCATCTCTTTGGGGAGAAACGTTTTTTTCATGGGATGATGCTGAATGTGAGCTTCATGAAGGCAGCTGGAAAATGGAGAGAGTAAAAATAGAAAAACACGTGGTTGTGTGTTCCAGAACCTCCCACATCTCTCATGCAACTCCTTTGTATTTTGTAGGCGTTTCTTAAACAAAAGTTCTGAAGATGACTCGGCCTCAGAGAGCTACCTCCCCTCAGAAGGCGCATCCTCTGACCCTGTGACCCTCCGTCGGAGGATGTTGGCTGCTGCCGCCGAACGGAGACTTCAGAAGCAGCAGAGCTCCTAGCGTTGCCTCATCTTCCTTAGCCGCTGCCTTCGGAGCGTGTGCCCACAAGGAAGAGGCCTCCCAGTTCTGCCTGCTGTGTGAAGAAGTGGGCTTGACTGCATTGCCGCTGTATAAAGCATGTGGTCTTCATAGTGTTTGGACAGCTGACAAATTTAATCCTTTTTGTAATACTTTCTATGTGACCTTTCGCCTCCCCTTAGAAGCACTGCACATTTTAACTCTAGACATGATCTCTCTGGCATTGACTGGACTTCTTGGGGTTGGTGGGGAAGGTTGAGATGAAGTAAGTACCAGAGACCTGCAGCAGCAGCTTGGCTAAGTCGTAAACCCTACTGTGTCACTCGTCCCAAGACTGGTGGTTGGGGGAACAGAAGCCAAGAGGGGGGCACACTGTTGCTGGTCTTAGAGCCAGGCCTTCAGGATGTCACAGGCGCCTGGCTCCCCAGAGAGGCAGGCATGGTGTGAGAGAGAGCTCTTGATTTGAGGCCCCCGGCTGCCTGGTAGAGAAAGGACCCCCTTTGTGTGGAAGTCTGCCCAGGACTGACTGAGGGAGTAAATCAGAGCTGGCTGCAGTTTCCTTCTCTCTGACACTCCCGCATCTTGGGGTCTGCGTCACAGCGTGCAGAGATGACCCTTGTGTGTCTCTGCTCGGGACGCGGGGGAAGCCAGCACTGAGATGGCAGCATTTGATTTGTGGTGGTAGTTCTTCGGTCGAGTAAATTAGGTAGTTCCAGTCTGTGGGATGTGGGCCTTGGAGAAAATGTGGGCCTCGGCAAGAAGGGGGACTAAATTGTGGAGGGTTTTAGTGAAGAAATAAAAGATTTTTTTCTTCAAGCCCTTCATTTTCATAACTTTGTTCCTGTTGTTAATTAAACATAGAAAGACATTGAATCTGCTTGCCTTAGGGGCAAACCTAGTTCCCAAAACTTTCAAATTCTTCACACATTTAACTTTAAAGATTTGAAACACCCAATCATAGGTTTACACAGTTCAGTTTTATGTCCCATTGGATTAAATTTTTTTAATATTTGGAAACATAATTTTATGGTAGTCCTTTTGGGAAGACTCCAGTATTACCTAAAATTATTGGCAAAGTTAAATGTATTTTCCATACCTGCAAGGTTTTAGAATGTTTAAAAGTAATTGAGAAGGTGATGAGTAAATATTTAGGCAGAAATAATTTATTTCAATAAAACTTTCAAAAGCCTTACCTTGAAATGCTGTTAGTAAATTTCTGTGGTGGGTTTTTTTGTTGTTGGTTTGTTTTTATTTGCTACGAGCATAGCTACTTTTTGCTGTTTTTATTGTACAACAACAATAATAAAAAGCAAACTCTTGTAGTGTGTTGTGTATGGCGGGAAGCTAAGGTTGTTCTTTTCAGAGGTATCCCTGTTGCCTCTCATCTGAAGTTTGTGTCTACCATTGTGGGTGAAGCGTTTCCTGAGTTTACCCATTTGTATTTATTTGGGGAAGACAACTGAATTTTTTCCCCCCTCGTATTTATCTCATTTTTTTTCAAGGTAAGTAGGGAGAAGAAGGTCATTTTATTTTCCTTTTGAATGATTCCAGCTTTGCCTGGTTTGCACGTGAAGCGTGTTGAGGATGGCACAATTCCACATGTTCTACATTTCAAGCAGGTGAACAGAGACCAGTACAGTCAACCGTGGACAGCAGTAGTATGGCACTGACTGCCAAACAGGAGAAAGAGCTCAAGTAGCTTAAAGTGACCAAAGTAACAGTCTGAAATCCACCCTTAGACTTCGTATGGAGTGAAGGATTCTGGGCGTTCTTTCTTTGAGTTTTTGGCACGTCTTGGAGGTGTCTGGGACAAATGCTGAGGGCCATAGCAGAAGCAGGGTTCCTCTCCCCAGGACTTCCATCCCCACCCTGTGCATCTGCAGGGATCAGCTGTTCATCTCCAGGTCCTGTAGTAGCAGAGCCGAGGCCCGACCAGCCATTTGGTTCAAACGTGTACGCAGGAAACGGAGTCTTGGTACTCTGGCCATGGGGAGCTGCCCTTGCCCTCTCCAGGGTCGTTGAAATTAGTCTGTGTTACTCCATGTTCTTATTGGCTGTTTTGTTGGCATCGTGGGTTCTCAGCTTTGTTCCCAACCCTCCAAATTTATTTCCCCTCCTTCCAAATTTTGACGCTCTTGTGTATTTTAGAGAATGATGAATCTGCGTGAATGTTGATAGAACTGTAGTTAGGAGACCTCTTGGGTCTGATTTTCTACTGGAGCTATCTCCTGTGTACTTTTATACCTCTCACCAGCAGACTTGGTCCTCTGTGGTGTGACTCCCCAGGAAAAGAAAGGAACCAGGGCTCTTTGATAGCAGGTCACCCTGCCCAGTGGGGAAGGGAGCTGGGATCAGGCTAGCCTGAGGGACAAGGCCCTCCATTGTCTAAAACCTCATCATGGCCCACACTTCATTACCTTAGAATCATGTGGAACTTTTAAAAAAATGTGATGCAGATTTCGCTTCCCCCAGCCCTCCCTTCTTGATTTAATTGGTCATGCCCCAGGGTCCTTTCCAAAAAAATTCCTCCTGGCTTCCTTTTTAAGAAAGATATGTCAGAGAAACATCTGCACTGTCATCGGAAATTGGGGAAGAGTCTTGCTAACTAAGGCTTTTTAAAGGAGAAATTCAGTGACATGTAGAAAAAGTGTCCCCCTCCCTCTCCAGGTCTGTCTTTATTGAGGTCTAGTTGGGAGTTCTGGTGTGGACCACTAACTGCAAAGTCAGTGGTTCAAATCCATCAGTCACTTCTTGGAAACCCTATGGTAGGCTCGCTATGAGTCAGAACTCACTGACCAGGTCAACACTTAAGTTATTACAGAAGAAATTCAACCAGCTGTGGGAGCTCGTGAGACCCATGGCCTGGAAGAGAGGGTACTCAGAACCATGGGAGCCAGGCTGGCTTGTCTCCCCACAAATCTGGCCCACAGGGGGCTTCCCAGTATCCAGCTGCAGTAGGGGAGGCAAAGTAGAAGGGAACCCTCATAACCCCTCAGGTCTTGAGCTTTTCCCTAGCCTTTGAAGATGTCTGGAATGAGGGGATGTGACCCCTTGGATCCAGAGGGTCCAGGCAATTTGGCTTCATTCTTGGGACTACCTGTTTTCTACCTGCATGGGAGGACCACCACTGGGTAAAGAAGAAACAGGATTCTACATAAGGTGGTCTGGGGTTAACTGCCCTTCCCCACACTACCCTAAAAAAAAAAAAAAAAAGACCCAAGGATGAGGAGCTGGGTGCCTGGAGGAAGAGTACACTCGGAGTAGGAAGTGGCCCACTCCTCTGCCCACCTTGTCCCTAGGTAGCAGTAGGCCTCTATCCCACTGACTGCTCGGAGCGAGATGTCTCCTGCCCTTCCTTCCACCGAGTGGGGCCTCTGAGAAGGGGTCCTGTTGGAAGTCCACACCGTGCCCATCCTACCTGCCCATTCACCTCCCATCCTGCCCCAGTGCTCCGTGCCAGGTCACCATCGTCGGGGAAGCCAGAGGGTGAGAGACGAATACAGACAAACATTCTCTTTATTGAGCTACACATGAATTTTCCATTAGAGAAGTAGACTGGCAGTGTATAAGATATCACAGAAACCTCACCGATTGGGAATAGAAAGGCTTACAAAGACCCGTGGGCTTTTTTCGTGTGTGTTTTTTTGTTTTTGTTTTTTTCCTTTTTTTTTTTTTCATTTTGTTTTTAATTTTTTGTGTGTTTTGTCTTTTTGCCTCCTCGTTGTTTGAAATGGCTGTGACTGGTCTTCTTCAGCAAATATTAAATCTTAAAAGTGAAACCGTGAAGAGGTTTGGGGTTTGGACACTCGTCAGTAGAAATGGTATAGGGCTGGTCATGAAACTGTGGCTTGAATGGAAACACTACATTCCCTCTTTTTTAAAACATTTTTTTCCATCTTGTATTTAAAAAAAAAAACACAACTTTCTGTTTTTCTTTTTATCTGCAGCACACACATCCCCACAAGAGAAAGAGCAAACACAGGCCATGGAAAGAAAGGAGAAGGGGATGGCGAAGGGAGCGCACACTCCAGGGGGGTGTCCCCCCCAGGAAGACTAAGAGTCCGAGATGTAAAAGGAAAAGAAGCCGCAACCCCATTTCCTGAAAACTATGAGAGCTGAACTGGTATATAGTACGTAGTACTCTTCAGGACAAAAATTTAAAAAGTAAAAAAAAAGACAAAGGAAATCCTTAGAAAGGAGGTTGGTAGGGAAATGGATTTGGACAGGGCTTGTTTTCTGTATGAGATGGGGACTCTTGGCAGCTGACCAGAGAGCGCTGTGCTTTTTCTATACAAACCTACAGTAAATGTATGGTTGGGTGGCTTAGGGCTGGGAAGGGAGCGGTGCCGCTCTGTGTCTGGGGGCTGAGGCTACCCGGAGGGCTGCTCGGTGTGTGTGTGGGGTGAGCTTCGGGGCTCTGAGTGGCTCCCCAATGCACAGCCTGAGCGCAGGTCACCAGAAGACCCACACACTGCGCAGGCGCGCCTGGCGCAGGTGGGCCCAGCACCTCCTTGGAGGTGCCTGGGTCTGTATGGGGTGCAGATATGCACGTTTACTTACTTAAAAAATATATGGATGAAATGGTGGTTTTCCTGTTTTTTAAACTACAAAGCACGTGAGAAATGTTTTTTTCTTTCAAATTCTAAATGTAAAGACTCAACTAAAACCGATTCTACAGCATTCTACGGCAATACACAGCCATCAGTCACTCTGGGGTCGTGGGTTAGACAAGGGCTTGATACAGAAAGGCTGTGTCGTACAAAGCCAAAAGGTCATGCTACCAGGAGGTCAAGGTCAATAGCAGATTCCGTGAAGCAGTCTGGAGAGAGAGAGATAAGGGGTCCCGTCTGACCATTTTCTTTGATTTAAAAACCAACTAACCAACCAGAAAAGCCTAAGACGTTTTTCATAATGTTGGGGTGGGGCAAGATAGGGCTGCGGCACATGAGGGATCAAAAACTCAGGTGAAGCGCCCCATGTGGAGACTGATGAGTGTACAAGGCCCTCCGTGGCCCACCTGCCCCTTCTCCACTGTCTCCCCTCTGCCCAGCGTGCCCGCTTGAAGGGGTGAATTGGAGCCAGGATTCGAATGTCCCCTCCCCTTAGCTGCTTCTAGCAAGCAGACCAAGTCTCCCTTTTCTCCGATTCTTGCTTGTTACCATGAAGAAAGAAAACTCAGGAGACAGTGGATTGGTCAGAGTAATGATTCTTCTAAATTGTTGAGATCAACCACCACCACCACTCAAAAGAGAAGTGAATTGTTGGGAGCTTCGGGCTGGGAGATGTTTAGGGGGTTGGCC